ATGACTAGCCCAAACCCCGGACTCATGGATATCAAGAATGACAAACCCTTCGAACGCAGAAAGGCACAGGAGCAAAGAATTCATATACGTGGCAAACCCCACAAGAAAAACACCGACAAAGGTATTGAAAATAAAACTTACCTATTTAATGATGAGGACATCGAAAGCAAGGAGCACGAGGAGGAACACAAGGAGGAGCACACGGAGCTTGCAGAACATGCGGAGCTTGCGGAGCATATGGAGCTTGCGGATAGCATGAGAGAACACTCGACCAATTCTACAATTGATGGAGAACCAAAAGCAAGAACGTCTCAAGTGCCTTCTTCACGAATCGAACCACCTCTTACTCGAGCCAAGGCACGAGCTCTACGACAACGTATCAATATGTTCGTTTCTCGCACATTGGACGAACTCCGAGCCAACGATCCGAACGACATCTCTCTTGGATCATTGAAGACGTGCAACTTAGCTATCTTGGGAACCCTAGACGTGGATTATGCTTGAAGAAAGACAAAGGAAGCTACTTAGAACACAAGGCATTGGACAACACATGTTTTGGGACAAACAATGCATTTATTATGCTTTTCATGCATGAGTTGATCATTAATTACAAAACTAGCTGTTGGTAACATCTTTATTCCTTTATATTCTGCTTTGTAAGAGACGGAAGAACACTTTTGATCAGATCTATTCGAAATCTATTTGGAGAATTATTCTCTTTTTGTCTTGGTTTGTCCGAGCGCACTTTTCTCTTCGGTTTGTCCGAATGCATCACTCTTGGTTCGTCCGAGGGCAACTCTCCTTCATTTCTTCATCTATTTCACCACTTTAGGATTGAGTTCGAGTGCCATTCTAGGCTTGTGATTGATCCTAAAGCCATCCATTCAAACCATCCAAACTATCCTTCGTTTCCTTCATCGAGTTCGAGTGCACTTGTGCGGGTGATCGGTGTTGGAACATGCTGTCAAATTCCGCTGCTTGCTGGGACGTGAGAGGCTTACATCAAGACCGCCTATGACTTGTATATTCGGAATAGAGATTTCAGATTATACTGCTATATCGAATGAGCCTACAGGGTCACACACGCAGGGAAGAACAAATGCACGAGAAAACGTCGAGAAATCTGGACAGAGGTCCAGACCGCCCAGTCTAGGAGTGGACCGAACGGACCGGAGCATCTAGTCCGAACGGACCAAATTGTTGGACCGAACGGACTAGATAGTCCAGTCCAAACGGACCAAGTGTTGGACCGAACGGACTGACTCGTCAGACCGAACGAATCTAGTTAAATGACTGGTTCGAACGGACCAAGTGTCCAGACCGAACGGACTACTAAGCAATCCGTTCGGTCTGGGTTTCGGATTTAATTTTAAAATCCGGAATTAGGGTTAATCACTTGAATAAGAGGAGATTAATAACCCTAACACTATGGAGCCGAAAAATAGAACTTCTTCAGACCTTTTTGGAGAGTCTAGAGGGTTGAAAAAGTGATCTAAATCTCGTTTTTCGAAAGGCACATCATCGAATAGAAGATTCGAGTCCTAGCAGACAAGTTCCAAAGGTTGGAATCCATCCCGAGGTGTGGATACATGTAGAGGTTAGGTATTCTTCCTGTCTACAGTGATCGGACGAACACATCAATTGATACAGACCCCGGATCGATTAAGGTAAGCGTTCTAACGTTTCTACAAGATCATGCATGATAGGTTTTAGGGTTTCATCAAAAACATTTGTTTTTCATCCGCTGCGCAAACCCTAGAACTGATCTCTTAGGAATTAGATTCACTCTTGAGATCCCAGGAAAACCCAACAAATGAGACTTCGATCACACTCTTGAACCTCTTGGATCTCACCAAAATTCTATCAAAAGTGTTCTAAAGTCGGCCATTTTTCATTAGAGTTTAATCTCCTTCTTATAAAGTGATTTTACCCTAATTTCGGTTTAATTTCGGAAAAACACGAAGCCCGGAACGGACGGTCCAGAAATGCACGTGGACCGTCCGTTCCAGACCTTTTGGAACGGACAGTCCGTTCTGGACCGTCGGGTCTGGACCTGGTGGACCGTCCGTTCCGGACTTCTGGTCCGTCCGTTCCAGACACTTTCGTCTTGGTTTTTCCGTCGTTTTCTCGTGCGTTTTGTCCTTCCCTGCGTGTGTGACCCTGTAGGCTCATTCGATATAGCAGTATAACCCGAAATCTCTATTCCGGATATACAAGTCATAGGCGGTCTCTAGCAAGACACTATGACTACCTATCTCGAATAGAGTTTGTTCGTGATCTTACGAACGCCAGTGAAGATTCTGGTTGATGATCCTTTTGTATCGCGATATCATATGTCGAACATAAGGCATGGACAAGCCACCTTATCTGATTCGACTACTTTCTCGTTCACT